CTGAATAAATAAGCTTTCCATTGATGTATGGTTTGTTATGATAGGACAAAATCTGGAATCTGAGGGTGCAAAAAAATCAAAATACTGAGAAAATCGCCTTTAACGTTGTCCAAATGAAGTTCTTAGCAATGAATATTACTAATCAAAAATCAATCAAAACTAATCAAAAATTAAGTTTTGATATATTTACAGTAGGGAATTTACAGAATATCTTCATGGAACATGATCTTTACTTAATATCCTAATGATTTTTGGCATAAAAGAAAAATCTATCATTTTGACCCATACAATGTATTTTTGGCTATTGCTACAAATATACCCCAGCGACTTAAGACTGGTTTTGTGGTCCAGGGTCACATATTTTATATAAATGTAGTGCTGAGAAAAATTGGGATTGGGATTACTCACAAATCATCAGTCGCTCCGTTTCCATATCTCCCGTATGTCACAAGGCCATAGTTGTCTTTGTTAACGGCTATGACAATTATGACTACGACGAGAGGAATGCCTTTAAAGAAACAAAATATTTTGAGCTCATCTGCTCTCAGACAGACTTAACTATTTCAACAAAGCAGCCTTCAAAGACAAAACATGACCTTGTGCAGGTAAAATGTAAGTAACAAATCAGTCACGTACCCCATCCAGCAAGTCCTATCTTGACCATAAAGCGGGAGATGTAGGTGTTGAACACCTTGACGAGGGCCAGATACATGTGGACGGCCTCCAGTGCCATCCAGGTAAAGGACGCCAGGAGGAAATAATGCAGGAAAAAAGCAGTGGAGATGCAAAGACCCACAGCATCTGGGTACAGAGCCAGCCAGGCGTCCAATAGGAACACCAGGTTTAGCAGCAGCAAGGCCAAACACAGCTGAATAAGGATCTTAGACGGGATGTCTTTGCGCAATTTACTGTAGAGAGATTTAAAAAACAATATATATATATTATCATTTATACATAAACTACCATTCAAAAGTTGGTACTGCAACTTAAATTGCAATTGAATGCATTAAAATAGATCAAAAGTGACAATAAAGACTTTCACAGTGAAGACTTCACCATAAAATCAGCATATTAGAATTATAATATTTCTAAAAATATTATAATATTAGAATTTCTGAAAAACGGCTGAAACAGCTGATTCTAATAATATTTCACAATATTGCGGCTTTTACGGTAGTTTTGATCAAATAAAAGCTTTCAAAAACATAATATATTAATAATAATAATAATACAACATAAAACATAATAATATTTATATGTGTGTGATAAAAAGTGTGAAATTATGCTAAATTAACTTGATTTCCAATTGTGATAGTATTTCACAATATTACAGTTTTAACTATATTTTATGATCAAATAAATGCAGCCTTGGTAATCCAAAATATTAAAAAATCTTTCCGACCCCAAATTATTAGTGTACATTGCAGTTTTGAATTTTAATCTAGAGCTTATGTAAAGCATCAAATCCAAGTCAATAATATTTTAATAGTACATAATAATAAAGTCAATACATTCAAATAAAAGAGAAGTTAAATGGTGAATCTCACAGGGATCCTTACCCAAAGGCCAGATAAGTGAGCAGAGTGATAGACAGGAAAATAGCTGAGATTCCACAGCCAATGAATGTAATGAATGTCAGGATGTTGAGATGATCTTCAGGGATGACAGTCTTAGAAATGTCCTGTCAGGCAAGATTTAACCAAACAATTGTAACATCCCAAAGAATCGAATTGTCTTATTAAAAAAAGAAACGTCAGGTGATGTAGATTCTTTGTGCTGTAACTTACTAGCAGAATGCCAAAGCTGGTAAGGTGATTGCAGGCGCATTGAGTTTCTTCAGCAGAAGAATTAAGCACATGGCACCCAGAAGAATTCCAGCCGCCTGAGCCACCTGTTAACCAATAATCAATGGTTAAAATGCACATTTCAACCATAAAAAAAACAAAAACAGTCTATTCGGTAAAGAAGGAAACATTAAAAGACAACTTATACCATTTAATCCAAAGTCCCAGAATACACAGGAAGCTACATAGTTAGCCTGTGAAGGAAAAAGAGAGTAAGACAAGAAATCAGCATTGTATTGAACTACAAATCTGTTTTATGTCTGTTGTGATATAAATGCTATTTATATTCACCGGAATGGGCCTTGTGTTTCGCAGGGTTATCAGCACTTCCTTTCGTAGGCCAGAGATGCTCAGGTTAGCCACGCTGCTACCCACAATCCCGCTGTTTAGTTTACGTCCATTTAGGTTTTTGTCCTAAACAGAAATATAAAAAAAAGAGTTCAGAGATACTTGTGGCTCTGATCAAATTCACATTAATTAAACTAAAGCTTTTAACACAATTACTACAGCAATACAAGCATATACTGTTTTGAGATGTGCTAGCCAGATAATATCTAGACTAAGTCATATATCCTATCAGCTCACATTACACCATTCAGCTATTTCAAATATGCAGCAGTCATCTTAATACAAAGCCAATTCATTTGAATCAAAAGCATTGCTCTGTCTCAGACCTGGAAGAAGGTGCTCTTCTGGAAGAAGTTGAACTGGACTCTAGATGCGAGCTGCTGCTGTTCTGTCGTGAGGTTCTGTGTGAGGGATGCTGGGAGGATGATTGAACCCAGAGGAGTGGACCGAACCTGAACCATGATGTCTTCAGTCTCCAGGCTGGGGTAACCTCGAATCTGTAATGCCAAACACAGCACAACCAAATTAGGTGCTTTGACCCATAAAACCCAAATCATTGTACTCATCAACATGTACAGTTTCATCACTTCATGTGTGTAGTGTGAACAGCCATGATAATTATATAAAGTGGTATAAAATTGATCATTGTCAAAAATGCCTATAATGAAAGCAGTTAGCCTGGCAAAGGCTACTCTGAGATACTCAAAAATATTAGTTTAATTAATTTATTTAATAATTTAATTAAATTGAATAATAATTATTATTATTTATTTAATTAAAATCAAACCAGTATAGGGCCAGCCTACAAAACTGTACCTCTGTTTTTATTCTCTTATTCTACATTAGCTACCAAACAGCAGCATTTCCATTATATATAGTCTGTAAAATTAATTAAGTTGAATCAGAATTAATGATGGAAATGTTACCTGCACGCTAGATGTTTCGATTAACGAGAAGGACGTCTCCTGAAAGTTGGTCCCATTGACTTTCTTCACTGCCAGAGCCAATGATTGTGAAAGTATTGACTGACTAGTCCCTGACACAACCAGTTTAAGACCGACTGTGTCCACAATCCCAATGGCCCTAGTAACCAGAGACAAACAGCCTGACTGTATAAAGTATATCAGACAATATTTTTTTACTGAATCTCATGTACAGTTAAAGCTTAATTTAGGTAAATGTACTTTCTACGTTGGCCTTTTTAAGGCTTGACTCAATTCTTTTACTAAATGGGACAAAATAATAATAAACCTGGCCACAGATGATTGTGTCTCACCTCTTTGAGAAAGGAGTCATTACAGCTACAGGAACATCGAGGAGGTTGTTGACAATACTGACGGAGGTGTTTGCCAGAGCCAGGCTGACGTTGTGCCCAGAGAGGAGTGACTCTAGCTGTGATAAGATCTGCTCCACCTGAGTGGCGTTTAAAGACGAGGCATTTGCACTCAACTTCAAAAGTCCTTCAGCATCTAATGCCCCTGACATGGTTGTGGACACTATACAAAGAAGAAGAGGTACAAATTCAGTCGACTGGACGATTGATTGATCCCCGATTAATTTTTAAACGCTTCTTTGTCTTTTCATTCAATAAACAGCATTAACAATTACATTGAATTTGTGACAGTAACAAGGTGAATCGCATTAAACCGGCCAAGAACATGTCTGAGTCACATTTTACCCCAAAATCAGGAATGAAATAGAATATTATAAAATAAAACCTAGGACGTTATTATCAATTTTCATTACTGTAATGCAAAAAAAAAAGTCACTGTCAGTATTGTAATGCAAGAAAAAAAAATTGTATAATATTTGTTTATCATGTTGCTTTTTATTGCATTGCCTTTCATTTAAGCTTATTTAAAACAAATTGTACTGCTTTTTTTATTGGCTTAACTGTCATAAAAAAATAATGTCACAATATTAAAAATAAAACCTTGATGGTCCTAAAATAGGCTTCAATTTCTCAAACATAAAATAAAATTAAATAAGGTAACATTTTAAGGACCAATTCTTACTGTTAACTAGTTTATTTAGCTTATTAGCATGCATATTACTAGAATATTGGCTGTTTATTAGTACTTATAAAGCATTTATTAATGCCTTATTCTGCATGTGTCAGACTCTGTTCCATGTTTTGTGGTTGTTTTCCTCATGTGCCTTCCTTTCCCATGTTTAATTTGTACCAGGTGTTTCCCATGATGTTTCATTGCTCCCAGGTGTGTCTCGTCATGCCCTCCTCCTGTGTGTATAAATAGTGTTCCCTGTGTGTGCTCCAGCGTCCGGTATTGTTTGTGTCTACAGTGCTACGTGTGATTCCCCGTGAAGATTAATAAATTCCTTGGTTTCGGTACTCTTGGTCTCCTCGTTCCTTGCTCCGTGTTCCCGTACCGTAGCAGATTATGACAGCATGACTGTATTTTAGATCCCTTAACCCTATACCTAAACTTAACAACTAACTATTAATAAACAGTAAATTAGTAGTTTATTCAAGCAAAAGTTGTATTTAATAGTAAGTTAATAGTGAGAACTGGTCCCCAAACTAAACTGTATGAATACATTTTACTGCATTTTGACATTATTATTATTGTTCTTTGAAAAGATTTGGTGTTAAATGTGCCCTCACATATCCCGGTTGTACCGTATTTAATTACCTGAGGCTGTTACATTAGCAGGTGAAGTTGTTACATTCACAGAGTTGGACTCTGTTGTGGAGACTGTAGCATTGACGGTGGTTGTGTTCGAGAGCGAGGTACTTGTGAAAGATGGAGAGGTTGTGGTAATGTTTTGGAACATGGGCGTAGATGAATTACAGCTGCCATTCAAGGGAATGACTATACTTGCCATACTTTCCAATCCTGTTAAGCTGTAAACATATGAAATAAAGTGTTGTTAAGAAAACGCATATACACGTGTGTGTGTGTGTGTGTGTGTGTGTGTGTGTGTGTGCGCGCATGTTTATGTGGTTTATGAGGACACAAATTTGTATAATGACATTCGTATGACATAGGTATTACAATGTGAAGGTGTTTTATGAGGACACTTCCTGTGTCCCCGTAATTCAAAAGGCTTCAAAAACATACTAAATGATTTGTTTTTGAAAATCTCAAAATGTACAACGTTTCCCGTGAGGGCCAAGTTTAGGTGTAGGGTGATAAAATATACGGTTTGTACAGTATAAAAACCATTACGCCTATGGAGATTCCCCGTAAACCATAAAAACCAAAATGTGTGCGTGTGTGTGTGCGTCCTGGTATTCCGTATGTTATGGGGACCACAAGGATAGTAATACCAGTAAATTTTGACCTTGTGGGGACATCTTTTGGTCCCCATGAGGAAACAAGCCTATAAATCATATAGAATGAAGTTTTTTTTAAATCTAAAAAATTCAGAAAGTTTTGTGTGAGGGGTAGGGTTAGGGTACGAGGATAGAAATGACAGTTTGTTCAAAATAAAAACCATTATACAGTGTGTACAGCATAAAAAACTTTACGTCTATGGAATGAACCCATAGAACATAAACAGCAACATGTGTGTATTTGTGTGTGTTAAGGTTTTTAGATTATATATCCTGTACACCTTCATTCATATACTACAGTACATATACTGTATACTGTATGTGTTTGTGGCAGATGAATACTGCTAATAAATACAAACAGCATACACACATCTACTGACATATATGACACACTGTATGCAAAGAAAACACTGAACTTTACTAACCAGTAATCTGTCAACAAGTTTTGTCTGTTTGACTCCATGCAGAAGCCTTCAGAACTGAAATTTGTACTCAAAGATGGCTTCCACATGAAATACTCTCTTAAAGGATCCGAAGAATAAGAGCAGATAGCTGAAAATAATCACAAGTATGTCATCAGATATATTCAGAAAATAATTTGATACATAGCTATGTTTACAAAAGACACTTACCTACTCTGCTCACAACTCCGTTGAAGGTGAAGTTTTTCTGAGATTCAAAGATGGCCTCTACAGCTGTGCGAACATCACACAGGTCCATTGCTCTGTCTAGTTTCACTATAACTTGACAAGTGCTTGGCCCAGAGAGGAAAGAGCAGTACATTAACCACCCATCAACTGTAGAACAAACTTTAGCATAAAATCATGCTGCAGTGAGACTCAACATACCTTTCTATGCGATCACTCACACCTACGTCCTGCAGGAGTCAGAATTGCAAATAAGAGATCTATGCCATTCTATGACCAAAAGACATCTCTTACTTTCATGACTGACATCAAGATAACTTACCTGAATGTGATTTCTGAACATGTTACATGCAGATCTAAAATGCAGAAGTAAAAGAGGAGTGTTAAAAATGGACTATGGTATTATTATAGTATTTATCATAATAGTATATCCTGCAGTTCAGCTGGTAGAGTATCATGGGTTCAATTTCAGGGACAATGACCACAATGGCTGCACCATTAATTGCTTTGGCAAATAAATGTACATTTTTTATTTAAAAAAAGCAAAAAGATACAGTAACAATGGTCTTAACTCACGAAATGTTGCTGCATGCTGCATTCAACAACTGATAAACCTGTAGAAAAATAAAAATAACAAAAAGCTATTTAAGGATCAACAAAACTATTACAAATCAGTATGTAAATTATGAATAAACATCCAGCGATTTGACTTTAATAATAACCTTGATACTTACGTACTGGCGTTCCGAGTAGTCAGAAAACTCGTATCTCGCGTATAAAATTTCAGTGGATGAAGCAATGTTAAAATGGTAATAGTAGAAATCTAAAATAGAGGAGGACATGTAAATATAACATTTGATCTGATTTACCCTTTGAAGCAGTTTTTTGTGCATTTACAGACTCTTTACATGATAAACTTGTCTTACCTGAGTTATTGCAGTGTGAGGAACAGTTACATGTTTGCGGTGCTTTAGGGAAAAACAAAAGATAAGTTAAAACATCATGGCACATTGATCGTAAATAGTTGTTTATTAACAGTGCATGTTGAAAACCAACAAGGTCTTTAAAGTATGCCACATTTCTGAGCAATGAAATATAATGAATCTAAAGCACACAGAAGGTTTATTAAAGAGGATAAAAGAAGCCTTACGTGGCCTAGTAGGACAGATCTCCTGAACACCAGTATCCAACGGAAAAATCACATTTGTACTGTTTCCACTACGAAAATAAAGACAAGAAATGAGACGATGGTTTTAGGTTGTACCTTACTCAAATAGCAATAATTTAAGCATGGTACATGATACTATCCTTTTCCAGCTTAAGTTTAAACTTACCACGAGATGTTCTGTGGTTTTGCACTACATACATCTTCAGTCACTTTGACTGTCTCATTGCATTTGTCATATTGTCCAGCTGAGAACTGTGTTATGTTATCCGCACACACACCTGTGCAAAAACATATCCACCCCAGTCAAATACTCACATCTTTTAGAAAGACTATATGATATTAAAATAGTACAATTTGTATTTTATTGCAAAACTTAAAAAAATAATAATTATTATTTCCATATCTGGTGGACATTGCTGCTTGTGTCAACATTTTAATAAAAGAAACCAACAAGATATTGTTTTTAAACTCTATATAAAACAATATAAAATATTAATACATTCTAAACCAAAATATCCAACATATAATAATCATTATTATTAATGAATTCATTTTAGAAATTAAAAGACAAAAAAAATTAGAAGAATTTTACTAACCCACTCTTTCTATTTGTCCCACCACAACGACACTTTCCAGTGTCACTGTCAGTTTCATTATGTCTCTAATGCAGCAAACACTGACAGGAGCACTCAGCTTCAGAAGAATATTGCATTGTGCATTCCTGTCAGAAGGCGCCAGGATGATGTAAGAGAAGTTTATTGAAGTGCAATCATGTATTGCTTGAATATGTTTAAAAAAGGATTAGTGCAACAACTGATACTAACATTGTAATATTTTTTGGTTCGCATGTGAACTCCATGGCCTAATAGTGGAAAATAAAAGCATATGTTTATTTTGTTATTTGAAATCTTATGTAAATATTATGTGCTGCTTTCCATGACTCCTGAATCTGCACTTACTTCAAACAGGCCCGTTTTCTTTGTTTCTGAACTACAGAAAAGACAAATGGTTAATTTATTACACAGCTTTTCAAAGCACAGCAAACCTCGTCAACAGTGGATTCAACTTCTCTGATCTTGTGTGAATCAAATAATAGCAACCGAAAACATCACTCATTATATGGTTATTATTACTGTAACTTATAAATAAAACAACAGCCATTAAGCATGAAACACCTTCATTTTTTTGTTTCTTTGTTTCTTTGTTTTTAAGTTTAAGAAAGCAAACAAATTACATAATGCTTATAAATATTATTAGGTTTGAAAGTGCTAATATGTACAAAGGGCCTTAACTATGAACATTCATAAATGCATTTATCACTACGGTCACCACAGTGTACTGCACCTGGTGAGCACATTATAAATCCCGTCGTCAGATATGCTGTCTGATTGTGACACCACAGAACGTTCCACAGTACCAGTCTCACTGGAAACTGCACATGCGTCTAGGTTGCCTTTGAACAACCACTCAAACTAAAAAACACACACACACACACACACACATTGCAGACAGCTGTGATATTACTGCATTTAAAAGAATGACAGAGAATTGCACTGACATGTACACACGTCTTTATATTATAATTGTTTTACATGTCCTTCAGGTTTTAACTCTGATATAATTGACAGTATTATTACAATTCTAATTTAATTTAATATTAATATATGTTTTCAATATTATTAACAGTAGCCTAATAATACATGTTTATGATATAGAAAATAAAACTGATTATCAGTATCACTTGCCCCAAGTAAGTATCATTCCTGAACTTACCATTGTTTTGAGATTTTGTTCACGTTGGTGTCCTACTGTTACCTCATAGGATATAGTCATCCAGTAAAACACTATTAAATAACAAAAGAGTCAGTTATGCATTGTATCCATGCTGACAGCTTTGAGAAATGTTCTTGAAATACAAGAATGACTGAGTATTAAGTATTAAATAATAAAAAAAGAGTATTAATTAAAGGGGACTGAAATGTAAAAATGAATATGATAGGAAAAGTGTAAACTGTGGTTGAATACACACAGAGACAGATCTTTATACTGTATGTCTTACCAGATGGTGTTAATGTTTGGTTAATGGTTGTCAGCAGTGGTGTTGCATCAGTTATATTGGCGGAGGACGATGGTTCGGTCTGAAGATGATATTGGTAATGAGTCTATTAATATGGTGCCTGACAACATACTGTAGGATGTAAATGGAACTGTGGTGCTAATAATGGTGTATTTGTAGTACTTACTGTTGCTGTAAATGTTGTGAAGTTTGCAGTTGTTTCAAAAGAAGTCGTGTTTTCAGTGGATGTGAAGTTTGCAGATGTTTCAAAAGAAGTCGTGTTTTCAGTGGATGTGAAGCTTGCGGTTGTTTCAAAAGAAGTCGTGTTTTCAGTGGATGTGAAGTTTGCAGATGTTTCAAAAGAAGTCGTGTTTTCAGTGGATGTGAAGCTTGCGGTTGTTTCAAAAGAAGTCGTGTTTTCAGTGGATGTGAAGTTTGCAGATGTTTCAAAAGAAGTCGTGTTTTCAGTGGATGTGAAGCTTGCGGTTGTTTCAAAAGAAGTCGTGTTTTCAGTGGATGTGAAGTTTGCAGTTGTTTCAAAAGAAGTCATGTTTTCAGTGGATGTGTATGGTGTGGTTTCCACAGGTCGATTATCAGTGCTATGTAATTCCTTCGTAAATGTTGTTGCTGGGATTGTTGTGCTTATGTTAGAAGATGTGGCTGTGGTTTCCACCATTGTTGTTGTATTTTGCACAGTAACATGGCTTGTTGTTAATGGCAGTGTTGATGAGCTACTGTGACCTTCGGTTGAAGATGAATGCATTGTGGTAATGTTAGCTGTGGTTGCTCCTGTCACTGTTGTTGAATTTGGGGGTCCTGTAGGTGTTGTGACGGCTGAAAACCCAACTGTTGTGGCATTTGTGCTTGATGTTACTGCAGGAAAAAATACAGAAAAGATTAAATTACAACAAATGTATCATTATAACATGCATCGTGTTATAAGAATTTAGACACAATATGATCTCTATCAGAATATGCCACATTAGAATTTGTGGCATTTTAAATAAATAAATACACAGCTATTGGAAACTTCATTATTTCGTCTATCAAAGAATCAAATATCAGTCTCTCTGGTAAGCATTATCAGCCTTTATTTTTTCACTTCATGCTGTTGTTGTTTTTGTGATGAGGGGCTACTCTTTATCCATCTCTTTCTTTTTGTCTGCCCATTTAGCTGATTCATAAGCATAAGTAGAAATTGGCTTTTGTTTTGTGCCAGACTTAAAACATGACCAGCAGGTTGACTGAGCTGTATTTGTATGGTTGATTCAGTTAAGCTACTGTGTTTCAAAGTGATCACAGCCCGTGTTTTACATGACTCAGATACACTCCTAGGAATACTGAGATGTTCCTCTTTACACTAGGAGAGACATGCAAACAAATATGCATAGTCTAAACAAATTACTGCTCATATATATGGGCCTAAATATAATGAATATGGGAAATAAGTTAATATACACTTGAGTAAACCTGGAAATAAAGTAAAAAAATAAATAAAAAATCACTCTTTGAATCATTCTGAATTACATGATCATCAGGTTTTGCATAACTGATTGCATCATTTGTAATGGAAAAACCTAAAATGAGATAAATTAGATACATAAGAAAACAAAGTTAGATAAACGCAACAAAGAAGTATTTTCAATAGCAGTCTTTTAGGCAGCATATGTCCAGATGCAGAGTACCGGATATTGAAAAACTCTGGATCTCCATTAGAATTTACACAAGCCATTGTTTAATGTTACAACATTGTGCAAATAGACGTTATATTTTCATCATCTACCTTTATTCTGTAAACTCAAATGGTATTGTGGCATAATAGGTGAGCAAACAGGAGGACAATCCCTACAATTAAGTAGAGCTGTATAATGATCACAGTTATACAAACATCAGAACTCACCTGGAAGGCACAGCAGGAACAGGAACAGGAAAAACACATAATCCAGATGGCTCCAGAATCCAAAACTCCATCTACTCAATCGTTTGGTCGCCATCCCTCTAGATACAGAAATTAAACTCACTTCGCAACAGTGCCAAAAGTGTCAAAGTAATAAGTAAAAAACAAATTCCAAAATGTAACTGCAGTGATTGTCACACCCCTGTAGTGATTCACACTTTGAGTCAATACACTAGCCATGACATGAATCCCAAACAAAAGACTGGAGCAGGTAACACAATTAAGTTCATGAAGTTTCAACACATCCGCTTCCTGGTTCAACTCAATTCATATTTCATTCAGTTACTTCAATATGGCTAACTTAATACCTAACTTAACACATTTCATAAATACATAAGGCTGAATCTACAGAATATTCACAAACATTTATTTAACCTGTAGCCTGGATTGTCAAGAGCTTTCAATGGAAAATCCATAGCGTGTGCATTTCTAACAAATACAACTGATCTAATGAAAAATAACAAAAAGTGAATGTTATCAGTTATTAGGCAGGATAAAAAAATAATATAAGAAAAAAAGGGAAACATTATTATTTTAGGGTCTCTTAACTTGCTTATTAGCATGCATATTACTAGAATATTAGCCATTTATTAGTACTAATTAAGCACATATTAATGCCTTAAACTACATGACCTTATTCTACATCCCTAATCCTACCCAATACCTAAACTTAACAACTACCTTACTAACTATTAATAAGCAGCAAATTAGGAATTTATTGAGGGAAAAGTCGTAGTTAATAGCGAATAAGTGTTCCCTATTCTAAAGTGTTGCCGAAAAACGATAATGTATTAATGAATAGCTATATTAGCCTCCCTGTAGCTCAAACTGTAGAGCATGGTGCTAGCAAATGCATAAATGTAAAGTAAATGTAACAGTGTTTTTCTTCGTTTTTGCTGCAATGTTCAAAATATCACTCTAAAAAGTGAAAAATAATGCTAAATATTTTTTTAATTCATAATTTTTTATGTATATCATTTTTTAAAGGAAATTTAAATACCTTCATATTTTTAATTTTTACGATTTTGAAATGTTTTTGAAAGTCTCTTCTGCTCACCAAAGCTGATCAAAAATACAGTAATACAGTAAAAAAAAAAATTTGCAAAAAATATATTTTTAGCAGCCATTACTACAGTGTCACATGATGCTTCAGAAATCATTCTAATATTCTGGTTTGGTGCTTAAGTAACATTTCTCATTATTATCAATGTTGAAATGTTGTTCTGCTTAATATTTTTGTGGAAACCATGATACATTTTTAGGAATCATAAATAAATAGATTTAAAAATAAACATTTATTTGAAACAGAATAGAAATTTTGTAACATAATAAATATATTTACTGTCACTTTTGATCAATTTGATTGGTTGCTGAATAAAGGTATTAATTTCTTTCAAATAAGTAGTATATACTGAATACCATATATAAGCTATTATAAATTAGACAGTATTTCGATTATTTGATAAGGTACCAGTGGTTTAACTAGTCTATCATTATTACATAACTTACAATTGAAAGTAATGTTTCAGTATATATAATTAAATATATAATTAATTATATATTCAGTATGATTCATTTATATAACAATTTAGTTATAATGTATAACTAAATGAAAAATGTACTACCTAGCCCTATAATTAACAATAAATAATATAAAATAAACTCAAAACAAATACATATCATGCAACAGTCCATAAAACATTACCAAACCAATAGATAAAAAAGTAAAAATTGTACAGTCCAAAGTTTTTTTAGTGCATGGCTAAATTTTAATCATAAAATGAACACTAAATATCTATTTATTCATTGACAATGTTAATTCATTTTACACCACATACCTTGTGGACACTTGCATAGACAACCTGCTGTGCTTCACATCATGATCTGTACAGACGCACCAAACCATGGATATATTCTTCTCTCACACAAAAATGTGTCTCTGTTGACAGCCGCAGCCTGCTTTCCCACAGAATAACAGGAACTCACCTATCAAAGTGTGTCCTTCCAGACATCAGAAAAATCTAAAACAGACAAAAGTTTCTTAGTAACTTAAGAGACGCTCAGGTTTCACTGTCTTGTGAAGCATTTCAGTGAAGACTGAGTTATGTGCACCACCCCCCTTAACCCAAAACTTCAACACACACCCAGCCTCCAAAGCACAGGTAGTGCACTTCCTCTCTAGCAAAGCTAAATGTTAACTGTAAATCAATAAATCATTATAATAATCCTATTTTTCAGTATATACCCTTATATTTTATGCACATTTCAAGCATATTGGGTTAAATTGGGAGCCACGGAGAACTGCAGAAAAAATTGCTTGATTATTTTAAGAGATATTTTAAAATAAGTGAAATTAAAATAAATGTTTCTGAGAAATAAGCAATAGTTTAAAACGCATTGGTATGCTTACATAGTTATTTTGTTGTGGCTACAGTTTCATTTACCACAGGTCAAGCTGCTTTTAACAGGCAGAGCTTTTATTTCAATGGAATGTAATAACCGCTTTGGGTTTTGTGTCAGTTTAAGTTGTTCCACCCATACTTGCATCATACTCGTTACTTTGTATACCTGTCTTTTACTGAACAAAGAGCAGGTGGGGTTTGCACCTGACAACACCTAGGCCTGTCGCAATAATCAATATATCGACTTATGGCGCAATATATGTACATTACCTCAATAATTTTTGGTGATGCAATATATCGCACATTATATTTACTTAAAAATTAATGTTTTGTACATTCCACTTGCGCCTGTTTTCAGCTTCTCGTACATAACGTGGTGTAGTCATGAGGCGCTACTTCAAATTTAAAAAAGCTTCTACAAAAAAAGTTTCATCTGCAGATATGGCCTTGTTTAGGGATCTGACGGACATCTGACTGCTAAGTAGTGATTGTGTTTTTCAGCAATAGTGCGCACCCTTCATTTACAGAGAAAAGAAGGTCAGAGAAAAATCTGTAGATGGAAAAATCTCCATACAAGTTCTTTGTGCATTTTTCTTTTTTTCTACTTGTTACTTTGCATTTTTTGTTAGAAAATGTTTATTTACTATTTATTCAGGTTTTTGAAGTTATCTAATATTTTGATACTCAATTTCCATTATCTAAATATTCTTACAAATTAAAAGTTTGTTGTCATTTTGGAAGTGTGTAGGCCTTTTGCGTTATTATGCTGTTACATTATGATTATATATTCAGTGGCATAAAATGGTCTTTAAAATGACAATAATCCCCATATTTTGTTTTTGGCTGTTTACCTGTATCCATAAGAGCAAGATTTGTTCTGTGTAGGTTTTAACATTTGATATATGTTTATTTTGTAGCAATTATACTGTATCTGTCAGTAATCTCTCTCTGTTGTTATTCTCTTCCTCCTATCAACTCCAAATAGAGGAGGGTACATTGCCTTTTCGCTTATTACACAGCAATAAAATGTGTGATGAAATGGACAATTAGCAAATGCCCCAATATTAGATTTAAGTAGCAGGAAGTCCATATTAGGGAAACAATAGGATATTACAGGCCCAACTGATTTCAAGAAGCATTAGTCACCACATTAATTTTTTTCCTATCAAACTGATTTACTGTATGAGTGATTCATATCACATTTTAATGAATATGCAAAAATATGCACAAGTTTAGGTTTATAATATGTATGAAAATGTATAATGCCATTTTAATTCGTACTGATTCATGATTTGACCTAATTTGGATCTGGTGTTTCCTAATACGCAGCACACACAGAATTAGTGATGTCCGGTTCGCGAACGAAGCGTTCGATTTAACCGGTTCTTCTTAGTGAACCGGTTGAACCAGTTAATGACGTCATTACGTCGAGCGTAAAAGAACCGGTGAACCGGTTTTTTCAACCGGTTTATTGAATCGAACTGTCCGAAAGAACCGGTTCGCGGAAAATAACCGAACTTCCCATCACTACACAGAATATCTCATATATCCCATTATTTATTTATTTTTTTCTGTTTACTGGAAGCGTCACTAAGAAACTAACTTGCAAGCATACTTTGTGAGGTTTAGTACAAAAAGGGGACTATTTATTTTATTTATAAGCGACGACTGAAAATATAATATTATATTTAAGAAATTTCACTGACAGTTGCTCTGTTTTAAGTAATATGTGCATGATACCCGTGTGAGGCTGAAAAATTGATAGCGTTTGCACATCACTGCGCAAAGGCTGCGCATTTTGATCCTCTTGATTACATTTCCTCCAACGCGGAAGTTGCGGTTCAAGCGCTGGGAACTGAAATCTAAAACACGTTAGGGATCCGCTCTCCGTAAATAATTGTTCTTTGAGAGTGTCTTGTAAATGATGCACATTCTCCATCCTGAAAATGCATAGCACTTTGAAAAACTGGAAGAAGACGTTTGCAGATTTTGCACCGGATATAGAGTTGACCTGTGGGATAGTGACTGTGATCGTGCTGTCATGTGTCTTTAGTGGCATACCGTATTACTTAGATATTTCAGAGCACTTTTTCAGTTTGGAGTCCAGTGCTGTCATTAGCGGCCATGGTAAGAGTTGTTTACAATTTATAAGTCACAAATGACTCCCTCAGCTCGCTTTGTCCTTCTATAAGGCACAAAAATAGTATGACGTATTAGTTTATTGCATTTTGTAGACTGATGTAGCCTCTTAATGAATATGTTAATCACATTATGTTGGGCAGGACATACCTTAAACTCCTCAAAATTACAGTTTTGTGGTTTGTCGTACATGTCTTTTAAAATCTGGTGCCAGCTATATGCTAATATACTCCTAAACTCTGATAGAATTCACTTTAGTACATTTAAAATGTAGTCTCTCTTTGAGAAAACGGACCAACAATATTGTTGAAAGATTTTTGACCAATAAAAGCGCTAGAATGAGAATGTCCCGCCTTCAGTACCACCCCACAACCGAAGTTTATTGGCTATTTAAACAAAGAGTCCTTCGATTTACACCGCCTCTTTCGCATATGTTAGCCAATCAGAAAAACTGGAGGTGGGTCTCAGGCAGCCTCGACCAATGATGTTTGGGGGTGGGATTAGCTGGAAGATCGGGGTGTGTTTGAGAAACCTGTTTGGAAACAACAGTCAAGCAAACCCCGCCAAAAGAACTTTAGTTCCCACGCACTCCTGCATAATCAAGTCAACCTCTCTGTGCTCTAAACTACATAAATATATACATATTTTGCTAAATATACTGTTTCTATATACATAATCAACATCAATAGTTTTCTATTTATCCATCATTTTTATTTTGTCATTCACAATGCTTTGATCGTAGATCTTTTCCTAATTAAATTATTATTATTATTATATTACATTTTCAGATAAGTTTTTCCTTCAAAGTTTGTAATGTTTACTGCATTAGGTAGCACGCCCTGTTTGCTGTTATGTTATCATATATTAAAATAAGTAAATATACCATCAATTTTTTTTCTTGTGTTACTTAATTTTGTCCCCTCTCTTCACAGTCTACAAACTCTTCACCTATTTCCTCTACCACAAGAATATGATGCTTTTGTTCCTAAGTGCCGTCCTGATGATGCTTCCCTGTAGCGGGCTGGAGCGAGGGATCGGAACGGTCAGATTCCTCTACCGGTCACTGCTGCTGTCGTCCATCTGTGGAGTCCTTCATGTGCTGCTTGAATCACTGCTGTTCTCCCCATCTAATAGGAGCTCAGTAAACGGGCTCGTCCCATTAGCTCTGTCTGTCCTGGGAATGATGACCATCAATTCTGTTATGCGGAAGGCGTATATAATGGGTGTCAGTGTGCCTACTGCATCTCTCCCCTGGATAATTCTAATAATTATAACCCTGTTCTTTCCAAACACTGTCTTCCTTTGCAACGTCCTGGCCATTGTTACAGGAATGTTACGTATCCTTAATCTTAAATGTATAGAATACTTCAGGGTTTTTTTCATACTACAGACCTTGATTTTGAAGCTGACAATCCTGTGATGTAGTTTAATCAGTGTATAGTGTATTTTTAATCTATTCCTTAACTTGGTACTTTTAGATGGAATGGGGTGGTTTTCATTGTTAGAGATGTCAGAATCTAGAGCTTCTGTCTTGGAGAAGAAGTTCCCTTTTCGTTTGCTAAAGCAAATACCTGGTGTCCAGTTCATCCCTGCATCGACCGAAGAGCGCAAAAAGCCACTTGACCTCACGTGAGTGATCAATGCCACAATGACATATGGTCGCCCTATTGTTCACTTTATGGTGTTCATATATTGCAATATGAAGAAGGTTGTTAGAGTGCATAATTTATCTTCCTCATCTTGAGCAGCTGGATGATGCATTTCAGGCTTTTTTTTAATCAATTTAGCATTATGTCTTTGTTGAATTTGTGCCACAGCCAGCCAATTAATAAAAGCCTGTTTAACACAGACTGTTTAAAAGAATTTAAGAAAGATTTATTTTGAGATTGTGTCAGTTGGTTCTGTATGGATGTTATTTTTTTTATTTATGCAGGTCTTTAAAAAAAAGTCTTAAACAGATAGTTCACCCAAAAATGAAAACTCTGTCATGATTTTGAATAATGTTGGTAATCAAACAGATTTGTTTCCCGTTGACTTAAGTTGGACAAAAATTGCAATGGAAGTCAATGGGTACCGAAACTGTTTGGTTCCCAACATTCTTCTTCAGAAAATCTTCTATGTTCCTCAGAAGAAAGAAAGTCACACAGTTTTGAAAAGACATGAGGGTGAGTAAATGATGATAGAATTTTCATTTTTGGGTGGACTATCCGTAAAACCAATACATGTTTTGATTTTTCTCAGTATATTTTCTGACTTTAAAAAATATCTGCAATTCCAGAGATGCTCCACCAGGGTCGTACCCTGTCCAGGCCTACGCTCCAGTAAATGCCGCCAATGGTCAAGTTACAGGACACCTTCCCAACACATTCGATGGTTGGCCGGTCTCACTGTATCCTCAACAGCAATACACATTTACTTCGCCTTACGCTGGAGTCGGCATTGGTCACAATCACGGTCATAGTCATGGTCACAGCCATGAACATCATCATGGGCACAGCCATCATACCGGCAGCCCGTGGATGCCCATGTCCCCATACGCTCAGCATCAGTTCAAGCCTCCAGTTAACCTGACAGGGCAGCCCTTCACTAAACTACCTCAGCCAGGAGTGCCATTCACACCTCCGATCTCACAGCCAAAGTCTGGAGTGCCTGCCTTTCCCACAACTCCTCCTGGAGCCTCTGTGTCATTGTCATCCTAGAGATTTGATGCCTTATCTGCAGGTTTTTTTGTTTGTTCATTCTTCTGATACCTCATGTCTTGTTCCTAGAATTCAAACGGCTCCAGATGTGCAATTTTGCAACCTGGGTGATGTTTAACTTGTTTTTAAATTTATACAGTTGCTGTTTTGCTACATAACATTTTGTACCTTAAATTAAAAACTGAATTGAGTAAAACATTTTTCCATCTTATGTTTTAATCAATTATTTAGCCATTTGATATAATGCAGTATTTTTTTAAACATGTCCATACATCACATTTTGAGGCCAGACAGTGTTTGTGCATATTCTTTATTTGTCAAACATTGTATGACTGAGATCACAATGACATTTCTCTTCCCAAGCAATATTAATGCATTAAGTTTAAAAATTAAACAAATGCAAGCTCGTCTCATTTTAAAACCACAATGCTGAGCATTTTGATGCCATTGCTGCTTTGGCTCAAGGGGGATGAATTGAGGAGTCAATTCTATAATCATAAGTAGAAATCAGTGGAAAAGATGTACCAATCAAGAAAATGAGAGAAGAACTTTCTTTTCTTTTAATAAATGCACCTGTTAAAATGCTAGGAAAATACATACATTTAATATATTCCTATGACCATTAACACTTGACCAGTTTGCTAAAACTTTAAAAAAAGACTAACAGAATGTAACACTTCACCCAATGATGGGAGTCATGTTGACTGCATAATTACTCATTCAACTGCTACTTAACATTAGTGTAAAATAATGCATAAAAAGAGTGGCAGAACATCTTGAAACAACAAGAAATAAGAATGAACAAACATCACATGATCAAAAAAACACAACTGACCTAAAATGTTCATTTTCTGTAACACATTGTAGGATGTTTTGATACACAGTGTCACAAAAACTAAATCTAAAGTTTTACAGTACGTCACAAAGTGATACTTGCAGTCTTTTCACATAGAGATAAAACAATAGAAAGAGTATGACCAAATTTATATGAATATTCTTTATAAGGCCTCACTCAAAAAAAGAAGAATTTTGCATCTTTGACCTACATTTGCATATACATGAACACCCAATACCACTTAGGGTTCAAATTCAGTCTATCATAAACTTTCAAATTCAGTTTATCATAAACTCATCTAAAGGAAGAATGTTTAACCACGCTTTTGTGTGATGTTGGGAGTGCTGTATCTCATCAAAATTCTATTATATAAACAATAAATCAGTCCAGACAAATTCATGATTAATGTTTTAGCTCTAGCATTTGGAGAAATGATGGTTTGAGGTAAAGTGGCAAAGATTGGTTTATCAGTTAGCTTAGCTCCAAACGTCCTGCAAGTAACGGCCCTTGGTCATCAGCTTCTTGAAATAGTCCACAGCTTGAGTGTGCGTCAGGCCGCCCACCTCCTCTGCAATCTCATAGAAGGCCGTGTGCACGTCCCGAGCCATGTTACGTGCATCTCTGCAAGGACACATATTCTCATTACATACGCAGGCAAAATTGCTGCTGGAAAGAGATGCTGTGGTCTTTAAAGATACAATATGATACTGGTGAATGGCAGTATTGAAGCACTATAATTATTTCAAGCTGTTTATTGTTCTATGGAAATCCTGCCAGTTACTACTAATGTGGATTGTGTTCATAAGAATGTTATTCATCTGTGGTAGAAGCAACTTCTGGTTCTTATTTATTTATTTTTATATGGGCATTATTTGAATGAATGAGCTTCCACAACTGCTTGTTTTTCTTCAGAAGATGTTGCACATAGATCTGTAAAAACAACACAGTCCACAGAATTCCTCTTCAGTTCCAAACTAAAAATGGAAATCTTTAATATCGTGAAAACTCTTTTTCTGGTAACGCTGAAAACTATGGTAATGAAGACCAGTCATATTGGTCGTTTAGGAAGATGAATAAGTGGAAAAAATAAACAAATAATATGCAGTGCATCTTTAAATTTGGATGCAAATAAATATATTTATCTGTTTCTTGTTTTTTCAATATGGTACAATTTTTGAAAGAAAAAAGGCTGCATTTATTTACAGTAAAAAAAAATAATATTGTGAAATATTATTATAATTTAAAATAACAGTTTTCTATTTTAATATCTTTTAAAAAGTAAATTATTCCTGTGATGCAAAGCTGAATTTTCAGCAGCCATTACTCCTGTCTTCAGTGTCACATGATCCTTCAGAAATCATTAATATCATTGTAAAATAAATTTATTTTTCAATATTCTTTGATGAATATAGTTCAAAAGAACAGCATTTATTTGAAATGGAAATCTTTTGGAATATCATAAATGTCTTTTGTTCAATTAATCCATCCTAGCTAAATAAAAGTTTTATATAAAAGTATATGTGACCAATATTGGATTTTAAAAAATGTATTTAAAAATGTGTAATTCCTATTTTTAATTTGTATTAGTTTTGCCGTCATCTGCCACACACTTCAACAAGTTATCTTTTTAAAACACTAATAATTCAACACTGTTAATCATAACATTTAGCAAATCTCAAAATGAATATCCATTATGCAATACAAAAATAATTTTATAGATTTTCTTTAGCCAATATAGTATAAAATACACACATACATATATATATATATATATATATATATATATATATATATATATACACATTTATAAATTCAATATACATATTATTTCATGTCCATGATACCAAGTGGTTCTTACCCACAAACGTAGATATGGGCATTATTTGAATGAATGAGCTTCCACAACTGCTCCTTGTTTTTCTTCAGAAGATGTTGCACATAGATCTTTAAAAACAGCACAGTCCATAGAATTACTCTTCAGTTTCAAACTAAAAGTGGAAATCTTTAATATTGTGAAAACGATTATTTTGATAACGCTGAAAACTATGGTAATGAAGACCAGTCATATTGGTTTGTTTAAGATGAATAAGTGGGAAAAAATATTATAATAATATTATGCATCTTAATATAATAATAGTTATAACATTAATAATATGCATATTTAAATTTGATTTGAATTTGAATATATACTTAAAAATATATATTCTATTTCTTGTTTTCCAATATGGTAAGATTTTTGAAAGAATTTATTTACAGCAAAAACTGTAATATTGTGAAATATGATTTGAATATATTTTAAAAAGTAATTTATTCCTAGTTTTCAGCAGCCATTACTCGCCTTCAGTGTGACATTATTCTTCAGAAATCATTCATATTTTTGTAATATAAATTTATTTTTCAGTATTCTTTGATGAATATAAAATTCAAAAGAAGAACATTTGTTTGAAATAGAAATCTTTTGTAACATCATAAACGTCTTTACTGCCTTTTGTTTAATTCAATGTAGTCTCAGCCTCAAGATGTCATGCCCACGGACCGTTGGCTGAACGTCTGATGTATACGGCACACAAAATTGGAAACACTTCAGGAGTTTCAAAGTCGTCATCGGATTGGTTGAATTATACAGGATTTCCTGGAGTTGTGTGTGTGTTGCATTCTTTAACGTTCTGCCTGGAAACAAAGATGCAATGATGCCAAACCCCGTCACGGCAGAAGAAAGCCGTCGTGTTTACAACTGTGACAATGAGCGCTTATCAGGATCAACTAAACACTGGATTTTCAAAAGTATGTGAAATATTAAAAGTTCGCGACATAGAATCTTTAAAATACGTCCAAGAATTTTACACACCAGTCTGTTACTGTGGGGACATTTCCACTCCCCTAAACATGACGCGGGACAAAACGAAACGTGATTGGTTGCTTTACCTCTCAGCCATATGGCCTCTTGGGCGATCCTTAGCCATTCAAAGCGGCCAAGGTTCCCAGACCTTCTGCTGTCAGTCTGAAGGTCTGGCTACGTGAGACTAAATTCAATGCATCCTAGCTGAATAAAAATATTATATAAAAGTATATGTGACCAATACTGGATTTTTAAAAAGTGAATTTTAAAATGTGTAATTCCTATATTTTTAAATTTGTATTAGATTTGCTGTCATCTGTCATACTCCTAAAGTTAACTTTTTAAATTTAATAACACGGTTAAACATAACATTTAGCAAATCTCAAAATGATTATCCATTATACAATATAAACAAATAATTTTATTGATATAGTATGTAATTTTAATATCATTAATGACAGCCATAACAAGAAAATAATTTAGTTACTGGCCAGAATTTAGATTTCAGTGCATCCCTAAGTTACTCACCTTGTGCTCCTGGTCTCTGGAAAAGGCAACGTTAAGCTGTGTCAGCACACCTGCCCTCTCAAACTCCTCCAGTTCCTGCTGGTACAGGAAGTCCTCATTCTTATGGCGACAACCAAAGTAAAGTATCGTCTCACCAACATCCTTCCCTGCAAAAGAGAGCAAAAACTGAGTGAGATACTTTCACTATATTATTATTAACAAGTTATGTCAAAGCCAGTTTCAAGCTTGACCTTGTTCCTTCTGCCATGCTCTCTCCTGGATGAAGCCCACAAAGGGGGCGATGCCAGTGCCAGGCCCAGTCATGATTACAGGATTACTGGGTTTGAACGGCAGGCGGAATTGGGATCTCCTAACATACATAGGAACGGTGTGCTTGTGGCCATTCTCGGTCACTTCTTTGTTCTTAAGCCAGTTGGTGGCCACACCCTTGTAGACTCTTCCTGTCTTTGTGGTGTACTCGATCACCACAGCACAGATGTGGATAGAGGTTGGATGGACCTGAAATGAGGGCGAACAAAGTCTGTGTCAACCTCAACGTTTTTAATTCAAGGTATAATATCGAAAACTGCAGGGTTTTACCTTGTTGGAGGAGGCGATGGAATAGTATCGAGCCTGAAGTTGAGGAAGGAGCTCACACAGGTGGTCTTATAGGAGGGTTCAGGGAAGGTAGATCCTCTAGAATAGCCAATATGTTCCTCTCAGAATCCAAAACCCAACTCTGATACAAAGCCTTAAAGGACCAATCAGATGGTGAATAAAAATTTTCAAGTTTTACTGTAGATTACTATTACATCAGTGACTATGACGTGATCCTAACCTTTCCTTCAGGTGAAGCAGACGCCATCTTGCGCATGTTTTCTTGTTCCTGAGGATCAGAGGTGTACTGCGACAGCTCATACAGCACGTTTTTGCGTGGTGTGTTGTTGATGTCAAGGTAATGGGTCAGTGCTGTGCGGTATGTGGATGGACAGGGGAACGGGTGCTTTTTATTGGATTCCTCTGCAGAATTGAAACATTATTAGCAACCATAGCATGTTACAATATACATAAAAACATATTCTGATTGTTTAATTTCAGATATTAGTACATACCATCCAGATTTTTGAGTGAGATTACAGTATCAAGATCTACTCCAAGTCTCTCTCCTATTCTGCTGACCACCGCTGCATCATTTGTGGGGTAAACAGCAACATGGTCTCCAGCATCATATCTGCCAAGTTTGGAAATCAATTGATTAATATGTGGATATAAAAAAAAAACAAAAAACTGGACACTGCATGAATATATTACTCAGTAGTGTACAACGTAGAGTCTGCATGCAAATGTCTTTTATATGCAATCCTAATAACATAACAGTATTGTATTGCAAAATTGTAATTATAAAACGGATAGTTCCGGTCCTTGATTCTGATTGGCTGAGCCACGTTTGAAGCTGTTGTAAATTACTC